ACAATGGACAATTCAGAAATATGATGAAAAACAAAATGCTGCATTTTGGTGCACAGTTCTAACACAAATTGTAAAATTTTATGTTACATCCAGAAAACCTTTAGATATGAATGAACGTTTAACCTTCCAATATTCCCAGATTTTGGTTACACTTTCTTTTTAAATAAGGCATCACGCGTATACCAATAGCTATAGCTATTTTTATTTTTTGCCCCCCCCAAGTGGCAAAGCGGTACGTCTGCGGACTTACAACGCTAGAAACCGGGTTTCGATACCAGTGGTGGACAGAACACAGATAGCCCATTGTGTAACTTTGTGCATAAATTAAAAAAAACAATTTTTATTTTTAGGATGTAAATTACAAATGTCCTAACTTTCAAAGAAAGTAACATAATTCGATTGTTAGCGTTATAAACGTTGATACTTACTGCTTAGCCATTGATAGTCAAGCACCAATATAGATTGAATGAGATAATATCATCTTCAAATTAATACTTTCTTTTCACACCTGTTTTAAACCATCAAATATGTATTTCAGTTGAGTTAATTGCAATGAATGATCAATGAAGTACCAGCATCATTCAAAGATTTCCCAAGTTTCCAATTGGCTAAAAATGAGAAAAACTAGAAAAATAAGTTATAATTAAATAGTGAAAAGTGGGAACATAATCAAAAGAACTATTAATGATATATTATGTGAAGTGTGTTTTCTGAAGAAATTGGAGCATTTTTGCGTAACTGTAAATATAAGGGCAATGGGGAAGGCATGCTGAAGAAAACATCTTTGCAGAAAGATAGTGTTTTTCGAAGAATTTTGAAATCAATTTAATTCAAAACGTCCCCAGAAATGATTACAAGTAAGGATACATATGAAATTTAGATTACAACAAAAGCGTTTAAAGCCAGTTGCAAGAAATTAGCTTAAATGGTAAAACTGCATCCATTAAGTCTAGTATTTTACGTGTGAGTGTGATCAAGCGCTTAAATCAAGTGTAAAATATCTAAAAAATGTTGGAAATGGAATGGGAAAATGTGCTATGGGCCTAATATAAGCTCTAGAAGACCTTTTTCGTGAAGACATTATAAGTTTCAGAAAAAGTATATGAGCAAAAACGTAAAACAGGATTATGGTTTTGTTGTGGAAGATATTATCAACAGTTGCGGTATTATGAAGGAGACATATCACAACATCTTGTTCTCACGCAGTACCCAATGAATAACATTTAATTTGTCTTGATTTGATTTCCTATAAGATAACGATCCAAAATATTCTACCCTACTGAAAAAGGGGTATTTTGAAAAGAAAAAGTTGATTGTGAAAGGGTTATGAAATGGCCAGCCCAAGATCTCTATAATCAAAATGAAAACACGATAAATCAATTGAAAAGTAATGTTGCAAAAGAAAAGTCAACCAAATCCAACTTTGGGAGATTGTGCTGCAAAAAAGGAAAGAAATACCAGTTGAGAGGTTAAAACATCTGGTAGCATCCGTCCGCACTAGATTATGCTATTATGGTGAGAGTGAAAGCGGATCTGTTAAAAATAATATTATTATTCAATTTAATCTGTTCTAAAAGTATTTACATATCAGTGGTATTACAATTGTAAGTCTAAATATGATATGCAAACCAAAAGCCACTTTTCTTTTACAGCTTTTCATGAAAACTTGCCTGTTGATACCTGCTGAGCATGAAACGTAATATTGGTACTGTTTTTGTAAAATGTATGTAAGAATTTTACATGTACTCTATGTATACTAATGTTGATACATATACAGGCATATATACGTTGATTTAGCGGTAAACTTGATGGCTTATAACGTTAAAAATAGAGGTTCGAACTACTCGATGTGCACAGGACAAATAGCTCATGAATAGTTCAGATTTTGGTTTACCAATAAAGAAACAAACATACTGATTTATTAATATTAATTATTGACATGAGGAATCTCCTGGAGGGTTAGATTTAATATCGTAATTAGCTCTAGGGTGGAACTTTTAACCCTTAGGAACAGAATATCTTTGGACGATGCATGACTAACAGCTATTTTTATTAATTGTAAATGTTGTTGAACATACATTACGTGGCGACTTTGCGACCCCGCAGGCAGAAACGTTACAATTTTAATTGATTAAAAAACGTTTTCACTCTAAAACTGTTCACGATCTTAAATTAAAAAAAACTGACTAAAACTATATAAATTTAAAAGAAACCACTTTGCTTATTGCAATCTAAAAAAAGGGTCTTTTTTTGTGCAATTAATTCTAGTTCTTTTAGATTGCAAACAAGCTATGAGACAACTTTCCGCCAAAAATTAATAAATTTAAAAACAAAATGAAATATGACTCGTTGATGGAATACTCATAAGGGTTATATTCGGAGATCAAACAATTTTAGAAGTTTGTTTATTTCGGATATGCACACAAAACTAAAAAAGAGACGTCTCCTCTAGTTGTCACGAATTTTCAAATGAAACTAGTAGACTAGAAGGCAGTTTACAGCACCTCTTGGGCTACTTTGATCAAATAGTGGCATTTGACCGTCACCTGTATAAAGTACTCAGGGGCTCCAAAGTGCGGTGCGTTATTCTGAGATAACAAGAGGCAAACCATAGACTCTCGGACTCATAGGCCAGTACGTTAGCCACCGGACCACTCTCATTCCAATCCAAAGAAGAGAAATTGGTTAAATTCTTCCTTAGTGTCATTCTTGGTGCTGTGCGCCGAACTCTTAACTACGTCCATAATTTCCAATAAGAATAGTTGATAAGAGCGTTTCAAGTCCCTTTTGTTCGTTTGAAAGGAACATTCTTCACCAGCATCAGCAGATAGACAACTGGTACATATAGTGTTCTAACTAAGACACATGATGCTGTAACTCTGTCAGAAATTCAGAGAACTTCAGTAGAAACCTAAAACAAACTTTAATTGAAAAACATTACAAGCTCTTGTCATAAAGTAGACTGGAAAATGTGTAATGTATTTAAGTGATTGAAAAATAGTGAAATATCTTATAACATGAACACAAACATAAATTAACTTATTGTGAACTATATATGCAGACTGCGTACAGCTATGATAAATAATTCGGTTCTTGCAGAAATAATAAACAAGGAAAGAATGAAAAAATAAGTACCCAAACTGTATGTGGCATATACTATAATAAATCTATATCTTAAAGCTACAGGAGAGATCCTCATAGAGTGTATTTTGCCTGGTTGAAGCCAAGTGGAATTCATCAAAAGACAGTCTCAGCTTGACGTAGTTAAGCTCCGTGTTCATATATCATCTTATGGTTCACTATTAATAAAAACATAAGCTTCTATTCCGTCTTTCTTGTACTAGTTTCTTTGGTAATTTTTCTCTATTAGAATACTTAAGAGAAAACGCAGCAGAGTTTGTTAAATAAATTTATCTTTAACTATGCAGATTTTAAAACACTTTAAGTTCTAGCCACATAAATATAATTATTCAGATTTATATTGCATCTTATTTACACTTATAATTTGCTTTAAGCGTTACTTCCACTTCTTGGCTTTCTTAATCTTAAACATGCATGTTTCAGTTGAATATCTAAAATGGCTTCAGTTTTGGATTTTGAGATGTGTTTTCAGCATTATCAAAAGCGTGTAATACTGTTTACACGTGAGAGCATAGTGAAAATGAATGGTTCTTAGAGTTAGTATTAAAGAAGTTTATATGAATGTTTCAAAATGTTTAA